AACAGCAGCCTGGGATATGAGACCTTGCACACACGTACACACACACTTACTTCCGAAGCCAGGCATGGTGGCTCATGCCTATAATCAATCTCAGCACAAAGGCAGAGGAGGCAGGTGGAAGAAAGGCTGGGTCATCTACACACAGGGATTTTGAGACAATTCTAGGCTACTATGTGTGTTACATGTACACAGACACATATACATCTACATTGTGAAGACGTTTCTTATATTACCTTGTAATGACTTTATATATTATTATGCTTATTTTAAAGTAACAATCAAAAATTGAAATATTTCCCAGCTTTAGTTTTTGTCCCGCCACTTCTGATTTATTGGAGAGGGGATGTGACTTCAACTTTCAACATCCTCCACATGCTGGTTGGTTTCATGTCAGCCTGACACAGCTGGCATTATCTGAGAGGAAGGAACCTTAACTGAGAAAATCCTCAGTGAGATCCAGTAGTGGTGCTCTCCCTGGGCAGGTGGTCCTGGGTTCTCCAAGAAAGCAGGCAGAGCACCCCGTGGGGAACAAGCCAGTAAGCACCACCCATCCAGGGCCTCGGCAACCACTCCTGCCTCCAGGGTCCTGCCCTGACTTCCTTCGATGGACTACAGTGTGGAAGTGGAAGCCAAGCAAAACCTTTCCACCCCAACCTGCATTTGGTCAAGGTGGTTCATCACAGCAGAGGTCGCCCACCTAGGAGAATCAGCCTCCCAAATCCTGGGACAACAACTGTAGTCCCCGCCCCCACGCCTTCTTTCTCTTTCTGTTTTCTCTTCAACAAAATCTGACTCTGTAGCCTAGACTGATCTAAAATTTGCTTCTTCATGACCATGACCTCTTCATCACGTGACCAAATATTTTATTTATTTGAGACTGAGATTAACTATAACTCTCAAATGCCGAGACAAAGATTACAGTATGTCACCACACCCAGCTGCAAATGATTTTTTACATAGATAGATAGATAGATAGATAGATAGATAGATATTTACATATACTGGTTTTATGTGGGGGGGGCAGAGGTCAACTTGGGGGAACTGGTTCTCTCCTTCCACCATGTGGGTCCCAGAAATAGAACTCAGATGGTCAAGCTTGGCAGCAAAAAATACCTTTAAGCACTGGCCATCAGCAAACTTTTGACAGGCTTTGTGTAGCCCTGATTGTCCTGGAACTCACTATGTCGACCAGGTTGGCTTCAAACTCACAGAGATCCACCTGCTCGGCCTCCCAAGTGCTGGGTTTAAAGGTGTGCGCCAAGCCACCAAGCCGGGTGGTGGTCGCACTTGGGAGAAAGAGGTAGGTGGATCTCTATGAGTTTGAGGCCAGCCTGGGCTACAGAATGAGTACCAGAACCGGCTCCAAAGCTACACAGAAAAACCATCTTGGGGGTGGTGGGGGGAAGGTGTGCACCACTACCGTCTAGGCATCAGCAAACTCTTAACACAGTCTATGAGATCTTTTTTCTTTCAGAGAGAGAGTATTAGCCAAAGCTACTACTAAAAGCAGGGAAATCCGCCTAGGAAGTAACTGTGTCCGTGTCCATCAAGATGGACTATCCGATCTCTCCTACCACACTGGTGTTCTAAAGACCTTGGACTAGACATTTCTATTAGTCACAGGGCCTCAAACACTTGAAACCTCTGAGCCCTACACAGGCCAACAAAGCAAAGGTCACAAGCAGAAAACTGGCAGAACGGGTGAGCACGCACACACGCATGCACACGCCTGCTCTCGCTTCAGTCCATCTGCTCAGTGCCCCAGAGAGCTCTGGCTGTGAAGATGCTGGGGTGAGAGCCCCACCAGCCTGCTAATCACAGGGAAACTGAACTGAAAGCTGAGCGGGACGTGTAAGAGAACAAATGTGCCCGGACCGAGTGGCCTTTGATCGCTGTTGTTTTTTCCACCATACAAAGCGAGGAAGTCAAGGTCTACACATTTCCTAAACAGAAGACGTCCAATGTGAAATTGGCAGGAAGAGATGGGCATTAAATTATGTGTAGAATTCAAATCAATTGTTCATTATAAAGCTACCCAATTAATAGAAACAGACTTCAAAGTTCACTGGGGATATCCCAACTACGTAATTTTAAAAGGCCATAAAGCAGCTGGAGGGAAATATGACAAAATGTTAATTACCTTCAATTAGCGGGATTATAGATGATTCTTCAGATTGTTCCTCTACTTTTCAACATCCTACAGTAAGTATGAAACTCTCTGATACATTAAGTTATTGTTTGAGCACTCTTTTTGTTTTGTTTTTTGAGACAGGGTCTCACTACATAGCCCTGGTTGGCCTGGAACTATGCTGACCACCAGTCTTAGAGATCTGCCTCCCTTTGCCTTCCCAGTGCTAGGATTAAAGGTGAGAGCCGCCCCTCAGCACTACATCGCTCAAAATGAGTTAAATTTCTGGAGAGGAACAAGCCTGCTGGGTGTAGAGTAGGCCAGAGCTCAGCTAGTCATTCACAGGGTTGGGAGCTGGAGAAGGAAATAGTTCAGCAGAGACATGTAGCCTGTGGCCCAGGGGTCACAACGTGAATGTGGCTCAACAAAATAATTTGCAAACTTAAGATATCTGAATTTTTTTCTAAGGATTAATTTATATATACAGTGCTCTGCCTGCATGTCTGCCTGCAGGCCAGACATCTCATTACAAACAGTTGTGAGTCACCATGTGGTTGCTGGGAATTGAACTCAGGACCTCTGGAAGAACAGCCAGTGCTCTTAACCGCTAACCAGCTTTTGAATATATTTTCTTTTTGTAACTTGATTGTGCCTGTCTTCATCATGAACTTCATAAATGCTAATATCACAATATCAAAAGGCTGGATATGCTTGGAGGAAGTGAGTAATTCCCTGGGTGAAAATGTCCTATGGCTGGGTATCTTGGGAGTGATGGAACCGTTAGGTGTGTGTGGTCCTTTCTTTGGACCTCCCTGGGAGCTGAGCACCTGGAAGAAGGTGAGGTGAGACCTAAGCTAAAAGTGAGTAAGGAGAAAGCTATGCAGGAATGTGACTAGGGAAACGGTCCTCAAGAAACAGGATGCGAGATGACGCAAAGCAGGGACACCTCGTGGCAATCCTCTGCCCTCGCTGGACCAGTTTCCTAGTTGGTCACCAGCTTCCCAAAGGACATTTTCCAGTGCTGCCAAGGGGGTATCACAGCACCCATCCTTTATCTGAAGACTGTCTGCCAAAAAAGGACAGATGAGACCCTGTCTGCCAGTCACACAGGACAAGCAGCAGGCCCAGAAGTGGGAAGAACTTGGGGGTTTTGTAAAACTTAAAAGGTTCTACCCCGTTAAATCAGAAACAGCCATGAGGGCTGCCAGTAGGCTACAGTGCAGGTCAAGGGCTGACCCAAGCTGTCCTTACCTCAGGTCAACCAGACACAAATCCTCCTCACCTCAAGGTCTGTTTCCAGATGTCAAGCTATGTACGCACTCACTACCAAATGGGTTACCCTGACAGCAAGAAGTGACTGGAACCCAGTTCCCTGTGACTATGGTTTGATAGTCCCTCACACACAAAAGGCAAAGCAGCGAGAATATGCTCCAATCATTTTCAAGATGATATTACTAAAACAAACTCAAGGATTTGAAAGGCTTAATGAAAACTAGAAGCTTCCTTCCACCCTATCACAGCTGCCACACTGTAAGAACTGGCTTCGTGACAGCGCTCTGCTACAAATCAGAACTCTTACAGGACAGCTCGAGCTGTGTTTGTGTTGCTGGCTTCACATTCCAAGGGTTTTACACACAATCCCCACACCAATCTCAACTGTGTAAGTGGAGACGAAAGGGTCACCCGCTGGACCTCACTTGTCAGACTAGGAGTTAAGAAGGGTTGGGTAGATGTCCAGGTTGACAGACTTACTCCAGCTTTCCTGGGGGACTGAATCAAAGCCTGGTGGTCACAGTACCTAATCCAACAGGCTCAGATGCCTCAACTTGTCAACCAGCCAGAGGAGCCCTCAGATGACCAAAGGAGGGATCGGTGAATCTGCCCATAAGAAAACGAGATCTGGCCAGGTATGGTGGTACATGCCTTTAGTCCCAGCAGTAGGGCAGCAGAGACAGGGGGATCTCTTTGAGTGCAAAACCAACCAGAGCTATAGTCAAGACCCTGATTCAAAAAAGACAACAAGAATTTGGGCTGGCGAAACAGCTCCGCAGTTTGAGGTCAGAAGAAGTCTCAAACTGAAGTTACGGGGAGTTGTGTGATGCCACTGGGTCCTAAGAACCAAACCTGAGTCCTCTAGGAGAGCTATTATCACTCTTGACTGCTGAGCCATCTCTTCAGCCCTGTTAGAGCATTTAATACCCAAACAGTTGCTTTTACCTGCATAACACTTATTCTCTCTTCTGTGAAACTGAACACACCTACCTACCCCACCTCAGAGCTGCACAAAGTGTAACAAGTATAAAGGGCATGGCAGGGATGCAGAGCAGTGTTCTGAGTTTGAGGATAGCCCAGTCTATAGTCAGCGGCCAGCCAAGAATACACAGCGAGACCCAGTCTCAGCAAACAAATGAGAGAGTGCCTGGCATACTGCACTCAATACAATGCCTTAAAAAGTTCAAGGCCAGAGAGATTGCTCTGTGGGTAAAGATGCTTAGCATCCAAATTGAATTCAATTCATGAGACCCTCATGATGAAGAGAGAGGACCAACTCCTTGAAAGTTGTCCTGACCTCCACACATGCATCACGGCATTCAGGCACCTGCAGTCACATAGATATCACACACACACACACACACACACACACACACACACACACTAAAACAAACTTTAAAGTAACCGTAATTTTTTTTTTAAGACAATCTCATTACGTAGCCCAACTGTCCTCAACTCATGATTCTCTTGCTTCCAGTGCCGTAGGACTGATTTAAAATGCATGTACCACACTTTCCAGCCTTTAGTGATAATTTTTGAGTTTTTAATTTTGGGTTGTTTTCTTTTTTCTTAAAAGAACTGCAAAGTTAAAACGAACGTCTTAAAGTTTTACAAAGTTTATTAATTTTCTTCCAAACGAAAGAAACAAGCTGGAGTGAAATGAAATCCAATGTCTTCCGCGAGGGCTGGAAGCCGGTTCCCATGCCATCTGCCCCCATGGGGTTTGTCCTGGGTTCACAGGTCGGCTGAGAGCCTCTGCGCTCTCAGAGTCGGCACTCTTGGCAGCGGTGTCCTACCCATGGGATCTGCAGGACATGTTTGCAAGCTCTTCTATTTTTAGTCACATCTGCAAATGCAGTTTGAGAAACACCAGTCCTTAGAAAACCAGAGCAATTGCCCCTGCGCTGTCCTGAAGCTGTAATGTCACCGCCTTCCTTATGTAGTCAGCACACCACCTCATCTTCCAGCAGACAAGGAAGCACAGCCACACACTCCTGCTTGCTCCTGCTTGCAAACCACATGCCGGAGGGTCACTGTAACCCGGACGGTCCCTGAGCTTTCTGGATCCGCCTAAATCTTTCTAACAGGCTCTGCTTAGGGTCTCTTTAGCCTCAGGAGAACTCGCCCTCAGACCTGGCATCCTGAAGCTGGCTCCCGGAGGGAAGGACAGCATGCTCCAGCATCCACTTTAGGGCTGGACAAAGGGGCCTCACTTTCCTAAGGGACAGAGGCAGAGTCTTCTTTGTGTTGCCCACTGTTTCAAGTGTCCCGTCTTGGGAGCACATGAGCTAATTAGTGTTCTGGGCACAGCCTGGCTGCTCCAGGCAAGCTTCAGTCCAGCACTTTACTAGCTCCATGCTCAAACCAACAGCCCTTGCACACGAGTGTTCTATGCAGTTGGCTTAGTGACCTCTGACGAACAAAATCAGATGGGCAAAGGAGAAAGGGCCACTGGCAAAAACCAGAAACCTAGGAATATGGCTAGACTGGGATATCTGGGGTAGGAGGCCAAGAGCGGCTAGCTCGGCTACAGAGAGAGACTGTCTCTGCTGGAACCAGGACAGCTGGTGGTCGCTGACTGCCATCCCAGCACTGAGTAAGCAGAGGCAGGGGAATCACGGGTTCTCACACAGGCTGGCCTACACAGAAAGACCCTGAAAAAGAGGATCTGAGGCACAGGCCTGTCCAGCTGGGCTACAAGACAAGACTCCGTTCTCAACTCTATCCCCCAAATCAAACAAGTGAGACGGATGCTGTCAGAGAGCTGCTGAGGAACTCCAGCTCTAAAGCAAGCCTGCGGAGACTGCTTTTCAGACAGCTCTAACTAACATGCCGTGCACGAAGCACCACTCCAGAAAACAGCGCCCTGCTTAACACACTAGGGACGGAGCGCGAAAACGCAGTGCTCTTGGCTTGGCTTGTGTGCGCCTCGGCCCAGAACTCACAAGCTTTGGGCAGAGATGATGTTCGGAGATAGAATATTGGAATCTCAAGAAGGGAAGGAAGGCACTTGTCAGCTCTGGAAAAGGACTGGAAACAACGTGATGCTCACAAAAATCAAAAATATTCGTTTCTGTCAATATACACTGGGTGGGAAAGGGGGAAATTTATCATCTAGGACAGGAGAGATGGCTGAGCAAGTAAAGGTGCTCGCCAGCACACCTGACGACCTGAACGAACCCACATGGTGGAGAGCCGCCCCATCTGCACCATCAGAGTTCCTGGGCACGAGCACACATAAATACACAGTAAGGTATTTTATCATCTAGAAGTGAGGGTACTCACACCTATAATCCCAGCATTTGCAAGGCTAAGGCGGATCAAGAGTTCAAGGTTATATTTGGCTGTACAGTGGGTTCAAGGCCAGCTTGGACTACCTGAAACCCAGTCTCAATAAACAAAAACACTCAAACAGGTTTGGTAGCACACTTCCATAAACTCAGCACTCAGGAAGTAGTGACAGGAGGAATGACACAAGATCCGGGCAGTTGGTTTATACAGCAAGTTCCAGGCCAGCCAAGGGCTAGAAAAGACAGCATGAGTGTGTCCCTCTAAACACAGCAGCAAAGTTCGGCTGCTCAAAAACCAATGCCCAGTTATGTTTGTCAGTAATAGGTCTAGTCTGATTAGAGTGGCGTCCATGGCAGGGTCTCACTTATCCCTCCCCCCCAAAAAAAACCTTAAATAAATCATCATTCCCTGGACAAATTATTGCTGGTTGGCTACCAACCTTCATGTAACAACTTGCCTGGCATATTTGAAGTGTTGGTGCCAATACGATTCCCGAAAGCCTGCTGTTGCCTTCCTATCACTTCAAGGATTTTTTTTCAGGCAATTCTAAAAAAATCAGTAGATAGGACACTCAAACAAGATCTTAAATTTTCACCCAATCAAACTTCTGTCAGGGCTGAGTCCAATTCTCCTCTTCCTAAATAATATTTTGCCAGCACCTTTCCTTTGGTGCCAAAAAGGTTCTCAGATAGATAATGTGTCAATCTCTAACAGACTGGTGGGAAACGGTTACTCTCTCCAGGCTCCTAACTGCTCTTTCATCTTGTGTGTGTGGAGAGAAAAGAACAGTAAGCCTTCCTGTTAAATAACTTCAAGAGATGGCATATCTGACACGGGCACGGTACACTGTGAGCATATAACCCAGGCCTAGGAAGGCAGAGGGACACAGGGCATGGTGGCCCACACCTTCAGTCCCAGCCTGGAAGTAGGGGGAGGGGTTGACACCAACCAGACAGGTGAATCCCTGAAGAAGAAGCTAGCCTGGTCTACAAAGCAAGTTCCAGGACAGCCTGGGATACAGAAAAACCTTTTCTTGAAAAACAAAACAACCAAACAAAAAGGCAGGAAGACCAACCCAGTCTGGGATATGTAGTGTGAGATGTTTCAAAAAGACCACCAAACAACAACAACAAAAATGCCAGGAGTGGTGGAAAACACCTTTAATATTAGCATTTGGGAGGGCTAGACAGGTGGATCTCCAACAGTTCAAGGCCAGCCTGGTTAAACAACAAAGCTCCAGGCTTGTCAAAGTTACTTAGTGAGACCCTGTCTTTAAAATACAAATAGTAAAATAAGCAAAAAGGAAAACAAAAACCACCTCTGATAAAGCCCATAATGGGTGACCGGTATTAATGAGACTGGCAGGAACTTTGATAAGATTTTTTTTCTTTAGGTTTTTTGACAAGAGCCTTTACTTGTGGAGCCACTTAACTGGTCTGCTAACAGATTCTTAAAAGTCCTGGTGCTACTTGTTGATTTCAATGCCCAGGAACTCACACTACCCAACCAACAGGAACTGGCAGCTGTGACCCCATCTTTTCCCCACCTCCATTTCAAGAGAAGTCCTCCATTCATTTGGACATTTACTACTCACCTACAAACTTACCAGTCCTGAGCTGGTCTGATAGAAACATAATATATAAAATTTGAATATAAAAGTTTGAATCCCCACCCCAGAGTCAGGGTTTTCCTGTGTAATAGTCTTAGCTGCCTTGAAACTTGTAGACCAGGCTGGCCTAAACTCACAGAGATCCACCAGCTGCCTCAGTCTCCTGAATGCTGGAATTAAAGGTGTGCTTCACCACCACCACCGGGTATCAGATTTTTTAAATTTTAACATACTCATTTGGGGACTGGGGATGTAGCTTAGTTGGTAGGGTGTTTGCCTGGCATTACTGAGGCTCTGGTTTCCATCAAGCACCACAAAAATTGGGTCCAGTACTGTATACTTGTAATCTCAATTTGACAAGTGAAGTAAAATCCGGAGCTCATCACCCAGGTCTACAGAAATTTGAGGCAGCATAGGTCACAAGACTGTCTCAAAAAGGAAAAAAAAATCCTGCCCAAATCCTAGTTACTCAGGGAAGCCGAGGTCCTGTGAGTGGTACAAAACTGTAAACTAGGGGCAGAAGAGATGGTTCAGCGTTTTAGAGCGCTTGCTTATTTTTGTTTGTTTGGTTTCCCGAGACTAGGTTTCTCTGTGTAACAGTCCTAAGTGTCCTGGAATTAGCTCTTGTGGACCAGGCTGGCCTCGAACGCACAGAGATCCACATACCTCTGCTTCCCGAGTGCTAGAAACAAAGGTGTGCTCTATAAGCGCCCGGCCGCACTTGCTGCATGGGTTGGGTTCCCAGCACCCATGTGGCGACTCACGACCGTCTGTAACTCCAGTTCCATGGGATAACGCCCTCCTCTGACCTCCGGGAATATGAGACGTGCATGTGGTGCACACACATACATACAAGCAGTAAAAACACATAAACGGAAAACATTAAAAAAAAACCCTAAAAATTATGGGTGGATAGTCACAGGAAGAGAGAAACTGCAGGTATGGAAGTAGGACAGGACAACCAAGAACTCTGTCTTACTTGGACAAACCAAGCTTGCCACAAAAACTCCACTCGCCTCCGTTTCCTTAAGTCTTTAGCTTTCTGGCACCCTACCCTCTAACTCGTGACGTGTTATTTGCAGAAAAAGACTCAAAAATAGTTACTTTGAAAAGTTAAGTTTTCTGACTCCCTAATTCCGAACATGTTTGGCTGGCCTCCACCTCCAAAATTATCCCAAGTGGACCACCTGAGTGATCAAACTTCTACTTCGGTGAAAACTTAAAGCAAAAACCCCAAACCCGCAGAACTCTGTCGCGCCCGTGCCGGTACACAAGGCCCTCCACAACCCGGCCCCGCACAGATCCGATCGCAGGTAGAGCCAAGTCCGCGTGGGAAACCTCCTCGATCGGAGCGGGGAAGAAGTCACGAGGAGGAGGGCGAGCGCCCGGGCCGGCTCTGCCGCCCTCCAGGAAGGCCTCACGCCAGCCGGGGTGCACACCCAGGGCGCCGCT